GGAGCCGATTTCTGTATTTTAAGAGTTCTTTTATTTTTTTTATTGTTTATTTTTTTGACATTTATTTATTTTTGAGAGAAAAGAGTGAGACAAAGTGAGAGTGGGGGAAGGGCAGAGAGAGAGGGAGACACAGAATATGAAGCAGGCTCCAGGCTCTGAGCCATCAGCACAGAGCCTGATGCGGGGCTCGAACCCACAAACCGTGAGACCATGACCTGAGCCGAGGTCGGACGCTCACCCGACTGAGCCACCCAGGAGCCCCTAAACACCCTTGTTCTTAATCACAGCTAACATTTAATAAGCTCCTACTATATACCTGAAACTCTACAGCACCTATGAAGTACTGTCTTTATCCTACGGACTGGACCCTGGAGGCTCTCCGGTAGCCCGGGGCTGTTTGCGCGATAAGGAGCCGCGAGCAGGGCAGGGTTGCACGTGAACCTGGGAGGCCCCGTTTCCAAAGCGTGCCTCTACTTTCCAGTCAGCTTGCCTCTACTCACTCACTAGACTTGGGGCCAGGTTCTTTGTAAGCTGAGTTTAATTTTAAAGACTATTTTGAATATAATTTTGACTTTATCACCTCTTGGTGGTTCTTTCCTTCTCTTTTCTTTTTCTTTTTTTGGCTGTTCTTATTTTTAATAAAACAAAGAAGGAAATAAAACTCCATCACCTTTTGCTTCTGAATGACTTTATCCGCAAAACTTCATACACACTCCCCCCAACCCTCCTCATTATCGTTCCAGAAGCCTCCCTTTGACTGACTGCTACATGCGACAGCCGCCCTTTGGGGGCTCGACTACTCATTTTTGGGCATGTTAAATACACAGACGCCTACTTCTAACAACAGAGGTCAGTGGGGGGCTTGCACCCCTCCATTTTTCTGGTCACTCTTTACCGCTGGACAGAGTCAGAAATGAGGAGACCGAAAAAATACTTGTTTAAACTTCAGAAAAGTAGGGTAGGATTCTGGGTCATCTCCATAATGGAGTTTCCAGCCCTTCATCCCTGTGGTATTCGGGGGGGTCGTGTCTTTGGCAGCAAGGATTAAGTGAACCGCACGACCCCCACGGAGGGCTTAATTGGCAACAGAGAACCCACTGATGTGTGCAAAATTCATTATTGTGTTTAGGCTTGGAATGTTTGCACGGGCCAGCCCGTTTCTCTTTCTGATTTTCCCACAAGTGTTCAAAAAGATCTTGTGTCTCAGTGTCAGCTCCCCGGTGGGGCCAGGTTCCTGAGTTATGTGGTTCGGTAACCTCGAGGGCGAGAGAAAAGGTGTGTAAATCTCTCCGCGTCTGCAGTCCCCGGGTCGGGCCAACGAACGTGCTGGAGCAGAAGAGGAAAATCAACGCCGAGCAGTGATAACAGCCCTGCTAATCAGGATTTATTAGAATTCACAGACCAGCTGGGGAGGGGGAGGACCCAGAGGAATCTGGATCTGGCTCCTTTTAGGGTCTGTGAGGAATGTCCAAACGGCACGTGAGCTGGTACAGATGGCATTCGAGAAGCTGGGTGTTCTAATTCCCCACATGGGGCTGAACTCGCCCTAACATGTGGAACCACAAAAAGGAAGGCCGTTGGGGGCGCCTGGGTGGCTCAGTGGGTTGAGCGTCCGACTTCGGCTCGGGCCGTATCTCGCGGTTCGTGGGTTCGAGCCCCACGTCGGGCTCTGTGCCGACGGCTCGGAGCCTGGAACCTGCTTCGGATTCTGTGTCTCCCTCTCTCTCTGCCCCTCCCCCGTTCATGCTCTGTCTCTCTCTCTCAGAAAATGAATAAACGTTTAAAAAATTAAAAAAAATAAATTAAAAAAAGAAAAGGGAGGCTGTTGCGTGTTGGAAGGTTTATTTTCATTCCGTCTCTGGAGTATCAGGGACGTTTGCTCTTTCTGGCCACAGAACCACCCCTTTACCCCTGTTTGGTTAATAAGCGTTTTTGGTTAAGGCAGACCAAGCTCTGAACGGTAGACCACAGGGTCCGTACCTCACAAACTTGATAAAGTTCATGCCTGTTCATGTGATCGTACAAGCGGTGGAGGGGGGGCGGGGGCGCTCTGCTCGCCGTGGTCGTTCAGAGACCCAGGCTAAGCGAGACCCCCTGTCTTGAGCGGCGTGGCACCTGCCGGTCCAGCAGCTGGCAGTGGAGAGAGGTCTGGTGGGTGGGTCCCATCACTTTGCCACCTTCCAGCGGCTGGACCCGAGGATTGTGCCCACGTCTACCTGCACAGGAGGCTGGGAAGCACGAGGCAGCTGTCTGCCAGAAAGAAGGAGGGAGAAAGGATTTTGGAGCACCATCTCCCGAGGGGGTCCCCCTGCATTGTGCGGACTTGGTGGGTCTGTAAATCAGGTTGCCTGCCCCTTCCCACCAAGGCAGACGCAGGTGATCCTAACTTGGCCAACCAGACTATTTTTCCCGTGACTTTGAAACCTGAGTGACATTTGCTAGCACAGAATTTAAAAAAATTTTTTTAATGTTCATTTATTTTTGAGAGAGAGAGAGAATGAGCAGGGGAGGGGAAGACAGGGAGAGGGAGACACAGAATCCGAAGCAGGCTCCAGGCTCCGAGCTGTCAGCACAGAGCCCGATGGGAGGCTCGAACTCACAAACTGCGAGATCATGACCTGAGCCGAAGCTGGATGCCTAACTGACCGAGCCATCCAGGCGCCCCTAGCACAGACTTTTTTTTTCCTTTTTTAAATGAAACGAAGGAGATTAATCTCAGTGACAATTGAGGGGACCTTCGAGCTCTTCCTGCCACCAGCTGTTTGGAGCTACTTTCTTTTCCCAAGACGGGTCCTCCCGCCTTCCCACTGGTTCTGGAAGCTCCTCGTGGAGCTCCCGTAAATGATCCTTTGCTTTGATTAGACGAAGCTGTTGCTCTGGGGAACAAGGAATTAATGCCCGCTAATATGGGGGCTGAACTCTGAGGCATCTGGGTTAACCCGCCTTGATAACGTGCCGTGCCTACGGAAAGGAGGCTGGGGAAGTCTAGCCACATCTGGGTGTCATTCTCAAGTGGCCCCCAGTCTCCTGTCTGCTTTGTGAGAGTAACTCGTAGAAACGGAGGCTTGGGGTCGTTGGCTGGAAAGGACCCGCCACCTGGTGTTTGCACGTCAATGCATTCTGCTCTCGGGAATCCAGAATCCTTGGGGTTAGACGCCAGTCTTGCAATCCTCAAGGTGTCACGCGAGCCCTTAAGTTGCTTCTGTTTTATTCGGCAGTAACATGACCAGTCCACCTCCCACTTGTGAGGACCAAACGTGGGAGAAGATATCAGGGCATTTCAAAAAGCACAAATGTCACACAGGTGCAAGAACGTTTTGCTCTCAAGTAAAACCGGGAGGGAACAAATACAAGGGTCCAGCCGAATCGGCAAGAGCAAACCAAAACTGAACCTGAACCCAGAGAGCTTCGGCCGGGAAGTAGAAAGGCAGCCACAGGGTGCGTATCTCCCAACTCAGGACGGAGTGGGGTGGGGGCTGTCTGCTGGTGGCATGTGCAGCGACTTTGTCCCCAGGTATTTGTTTGACCTTCGAGGTGCTCGAACGTTTTACGTTGCCAGAATTGTAAAAGAACAGGAAATTTCAAGCGAACATTTTGATTTCTCGCTTGTCGGGTAAGACCCGAGATTTTGCTACTTTGCACCTTCGTGGCTTCGTGGTGGGTGACTTTCGGCAGGGGCGGGGTCACCGTGCCCTCCTTAGACAGGGCATCCCTTGGTGCCCAGCCCAGCCTGTGCGTTCATCGAAGAGGTGTTTAGCTTTGCGACCCCGAGTGGGGTTTTTGTGGGGCAGGCGCTAAAATGATGGCTGAGTCCACGAGGAGCAGGGACCCACTGAGGTCGACCAGATGCCAGCTGAACGGCTCACCGCTGTGTCCCTTCTTACCTCGGTTTGGACCCCTTGCTTGCGCTCAGGACCATCGTCAAGCTCACGGTCAGCACTTCATCCCCCTTCTAGGATTCTGCCGTCATCTTCCGTCCCACCAGCTTCTTCCCCCCAGACCTCCTGGACCCCACGCCTGGAGCCGCAGAGGAAGGACCCACAGCGTCTGGGTGGTTGGGAAGAAAGCCACACAGCTGGGGCATAATTGTTACCTGGAACCAAATTAGTTTTAATGACTTTTGGACGCTTCCCAGCCCCCTCCCGTCTCCCACCCACCCATGAAGTTTCACAGCCTGTGGGGCAGGTCGGTGCCCCACTCCGTAAACGTGAAAGCTTGTCTGGTGATGGCAAGCCTAGTGCGATAAGCCCAAGCAGGATAAACATCAAGTGGGGGGGGCCGCCGGCTTTTCATGCTGATCCAAGGAGGCGCTATTAGACGCAGGGGATGAAAGGGACAGAAGCTTCGGGCTGATCGCCAGGATAATTTTCCCAAGAGTGAAATCAGTTAGCCTCTGAAGACTTGCTCCTCGGGGGTGACATCCTTCCGACCCGGCCGTGAAGGACGCCCGACGGGGGGAGCCAGGCAAGCCCCCCAGCCCGGGACGCAGTGGAGACTCCCGGGGTCTCCCCACCCGGTTCCCCTGATTTGTTTCGATGAATTTTTCCAGCAAAGCGTGTTTCTTTCTCTAGATACGTTGCAGCACGTTCGACCTGAGCTCGCTCCTGACTCCCCACCGTGAGAACATCTGCCTCGCCATCGTCGTCCTTTCCGGGCTGGTGTTCAGAGCTGGGAGCTCGAACCAACGGACAACCCCCCCCCCACCCCCACCCCCAGCCTCGTGCCGCCCTCCCTAAGCCCCTGGCCGTTGGGTCTGACCACCGAGAGCTTCCTGTGGCTACACCTGACACAAGGCGGCAAATACTCGTGGAGCTACGTGCCAGGCACCGTTGTCCTCACTGGGCCGAAGAGCAGGGAGCGCGAGACCCTTCCTTTTACGGAGGGTCTGGAATAATCTGGTGGCATAATTGCAGGGGCCACATCTGCGCTGGAGGGCCTCGCGATCTTCCTCGCCAGCAGAAACACAATTAGTTGGGAGCACTCAATTTCCCAGACTCCCTTGCGGCTGGGACGGCCACGTGACCGGTCCTGACCAATGAGATGGATGCAGGGGTTAGTGGGCGGGGCTTCCAGCTCAGCTCCTCCGAGGGCGCGGGGCTCGCCTGTCGTTGTTGACCCTCACCTTCTGGAGCAAGTTTGCAGCCATGAGGACAAAAGTCGCATACAAACACAGCTGGGCAAGAAGAGAGAGGGAACCTGGTTGTTTGGGCGGCTAAGGTGTTCCTGCCTCCAGAATCCTCCTATCGCTAGAAGCATAAACTCCTTAGTAAGGTAACTCGTAGTGATTAGTCCTGATACTTAATCTTCTTCTATTTGTTCAGTTAACCCACCTCCGATCGTGAGAACAAATAATCCGGAAATATTACTTTTAAATGTCTGTCTTGTTCTTTGCACGCTTTTGCCCGGGTGCTTGTTAATATGCTGCTGAATTCCAAAACATTCCTCCTCCAAAACCTTCAGCAGAACTGGGCTTGGCTGGGACTGTCCCCGAGCCTCCACCGGTGGCTTCTCCACTGTGGGGGGTGGGGGTGGGGGGTCTCAGGGTAGCTGAGCCGGGTCTCCTTGACCATCGATGACCATCGTCAGCTTTTGAGCATGGACCGAATCTCATTGCCTCACCCGAGAGACATCCTCCACCTGTGTCTCTGTCTGGATATCTCTGCGTCTGTGTCTTTCTTTATCTCTTTCCCTCTTGCCCCCTCCTGAGGCAACACTTGTCAGTGATTAGGGACACGGCTTTGAAGAGACTCGTGCCGGCAAATGATTCAGGCCCCGGCGCCTGCACCTGGCAAATGGAGATCTCGGAGCGTTGAGAGCACGGGGGCCCTGGGACGCAGCACGGGGCACAGACTCGTGTGGCAGCAATGCCTGCTGTCCCCACCATCACCGGCACCGCGGCCGGCACGTCCTCACGCCGCCTCTCACGGAGATCCAGCTCCCTGCGGAATAAAGCCGGCGGGCGGGGGGTCCGCTGAGAGTGCAATCAAGGCACAGGACAAGTGGATAACAAGAGTTTAGAAAGCAAACAAGGCTGCAGGAAGTCTGGACACTTTCAAAAACAGCCTAAAACAAAACTAAACAAAGAGAGCGAGGGGACGGTGATGTAATCTCTCTGGTCAAAGGCAGAGGAAATTGTCACCGTGCTCCGGGAAGACCCGAGAGGGCCCCGGGGCGGCCTTTGTCGGGCACCAGCGGGCCCCTCGGATCTCCTCGTGTTTTACCTAGACAACGTCCACTTCTTTCTTTTTAAAATTTTAAATGTTTTTAAAAAAATTTTTTTTCAACGTTTATTTATTTTTGGGACAGAGAGAGACAGAGCATGAACGGGGAAGGGGCAGAGAGAGAGGGAGACACAGAATCGGAAACAGGCTCCAGGCTCTGAGCCATCAGCCCAGAGCCCGACGCGGGGCTCGAACTCACGGACTGCGAGATCGTGACCTGGCCGAAGTCGGACGCTTAAGCAACTGCGCCACCCAGGCGCCCCTTAAATGTTTTTTTAAATTTATTCTTGAGAGAGACAGAGCGTGAGCAGGGGAGGGGCAGAGACAGAGAGGGAGACACAGAATCTGAAACAGGCTCCAGGCTCCAGGCTCTGAGCTGTCAGCACAGAGCCCGACGCGGGGCTCGAAACCACGAACTGTGAGATCATGACCTGAGCTACCTGAGCTG